ATAAGAAAGCTTGGAGGCACGGCATACACCTTGATGTCAAATAAAATAAATAAATTACACAAAGTTTAAATAAAGTAAAAATCAGCAAACACTGTGGAACCAATTAAATATGAAATGAATGTTTAAAAAAACTTCCAAAATCACCTTAAATAAACGGCAAAAGTCAACAGGCTTTTCAAAATCCAAAATACTGCCAAACAGGCACTATTTTGCCTGATTTCGGATGATTTCGTTTCCATCGAAACGAAATCATCCGCAATCGTCTTGTCTGTATCACCCCACTCTTCTTGTCAGTCAGCTCGACTCACTCTCCTCACTGGATAAATGAAATCTGATCTGTGATGCGACTGTCGTTCGGCACGCTGCATTGAGCAGCCATTCATTCTCTGCCAGCAGGAGGCGCTTGTAGAGCGGGAAAGAAAGAGGTTTCCCCGGTAACGGCTGTAATCAAATAAGTGTTGCTCACAAACTGCTCGGGCATTACAGGCAAGATGAAATGAAAATGACATCCATAATTTTCTGAAGACAGTCGGTTTCCTTCAGAAATAGAGTGATATAAAAACACCCGCACCGGGTTTCGACTTTGATACGTGCAGTTCTCATGTTTATTCAACAAAGTCAAAGCCTTTTGGAAAATCTATTTGTGGCGGTGAGTTTTGCTATTGTGGCGGGCGCCACAAATAAATCAATGTATGGGAAACACTGAGAAACTTACCTGCTTGAACTCTTTCATTTGATCCGGGTGTCTGTCTTCAAAGTCAAAGTGTTTTGTTAGTTTGGTGTGTTTCCTCGTTTTGAGGTTGCCACGTCTCAGTGCTTTTATGAAGAGAGCGCATCTGAGCACCTTTCGGATAGCGCATCAAGAACCGGGTTGACCGGGTACTCGGTACCACCGGTACTTAAAAAAACCTTGTACCGTAACGTTTTCATTTTTTTTTGTACCGACTTGGTACCGAAGTACCGGGTCTTTTGACAACACTACAACAGCCACACATCCGAATAAAGACTCACCCATCCAAACAAACAACAAAAACCCATCCAAACAAAGAACAAAAACCCATCCAAACAAACAGCAAACACCCACCCAACCAAACAAACAGCAAACACTCATCCAAACACCCACCTATCCAGACAAGCAAAACACTCACCCATCCAAACAAGCAAACACCCATCCAGACAAGCAACAAACACTCACCCAGCCAGACAACAAACATTCACCCATCCAGACAACAAACACCCACCCAACCAAACAAACAAACAGCAAGCACTCACCTATACAAACAAACACCTATCCAAACAAACAACAAACACCCACCCAAACAAACACCCATCCAGACAACAACAACAAGCACCCACCCAACCAAGCAAACAAACACTCACCCATCCAGAAAAACAACAAACACACACCCATCCAAACAAACAACAATCACCCACCCAAACAACCAAACACCCATCCAGACAAACAACAAACACTCACCCATCCAAACAAACAAACAAACACCCATCCAGACAAGCAACAAACACTCACCCAGCCAAACAAACAAACAACAAACATTCACCCATCCAGACAACAAACACCCATCTAAACAAACAACAAACGCCCACCCAACCAAACAAACAAACAAGCACTCAACTATACAAACAAACACCTATCCAAACAAACAACAAACACCCACCCAAACAACCAAACAAACACCCATCCAGACAACAAGCACCCTCCCAAACAAACAAACAAACACTCACCCATCCAAACAACAAACAAACACCCATCCAAACAAACAACAAACATCCACCCAAACAACCAAACACCCATCCAGACAAACAACAAACACTCACCCATCCAAACAACAAACAAACAAAGAAACAAACAAACACCCATTCAAACAAACAAGCACCCAACCAAACAAACAACAAACAAACACCCATCCAAACAAACAAACAACAAACACCTGCCCATCCAAACAAACAACAAACACCCATCCAAACAAACATCAAACACTCGCCCATTCAAACAAACAACAAACACCCATCCAAACAAGCAACAAATACCCACCCATCCATCCAAACAAACACCCAATCAAACAACAAGCACTCAAACTCACCTTCCAAACAAACCAAGAAATACCCATCCAAATGAACACCCATCCAGTTTCTCAACCACTCAGAGAGATAATTTTAGCACACACTGGTCTGTGTGACAGTTTGCTGACAGTTTGGTCCCAATTAAAATAACTGTTTTACCCCTACAGATCTAAGGACTCCATTTTGGAGGCTGTTGGCCTCTCGGAGAGGTATATGCATGGCTCTGTTGTGCTGTGTGATTTAGAGACTCTTGAGTACCAATTAACCAAAATGGCTTGTCTCTTACATGGTCTCGTTTGCAGTGGCGATTTAAGCTTGATGACTGGGGGAAGTGAAAGCTGTAACTGTGACTCATCTGTCTGCGTAATTAAGGCAGATGGGAATAGGAACTGATATTTCAGACTGATGATGAAAGGGTCCAGCAATCTGTGGGAACAAGTAAATATATCACAGTTCCTGTGTGACAACCAAATTCAAATACGGTAGTGAATCCACTAATTTATAATTTTGTGCATCTTCGGAACAAAACTCACTCTTGAAACTGCGATGATTAACAAAATGATAACTGAAATTTGTTGTGGTTAAATTTGATTGTCAGTTCACCTTTTTGCACTTAACCCTGTACACACACAGTTCAGTAATTTATGGGAGTGGCATTCGGATTCTACAACCACTTCAATTCACTCCCAGAAAATGTATATTTGCAGAAATTCTGCAGGGTGTACAGAACTGAAATGAACGGCTAGTTGTTAATGGCGTAAAAGCGTAAGAGTTGTGGTAGAGGAGGTATGTCTTGACTCGGTGTTGCCAGATCTTGCTTTTAAAAATGGAAAATAATAACAAGCCTATGATAAACTTGCATCCAAACGTGTTATCTTAGAAGAAATAAACCACATACCAACATATTGCAACCTGCACCTGCCTACTTTATTATCCCCATAAAATGGAATGCTAAATGAGCTGAGCAAACAAGTCCAAAGATGCCTAAGAAGCATTGCTTATAATAAGTGGACATGGCAACCCTGTTAAAGGCAGGGTAAGCGTTTTCTGGTAGCCAATGTTGATATTTGAAATCACCAATTGTGAAGCAACCTTCCAAACATAAACAAAACCTGACGGCTCTGTAGACGGTGGTATAGTTAAAATCGCAGTCTTTGGTCGCTGTAGCATTACTTTGGTCAAAAATAGCAGATACCAAACTCACAAGACTGCATTACTTTACTTTGGTTACAATGGTGTCGATTATTGCAATTTGAAAATGTAATTTTGGGGATTCATTCCCCTATTTAAATTCAGTTGTCACTTCTGAAACTGTACTGTGTGAATTTGGCCATATTGTAGCTACCGGTTTATGCGTATTGGTCTGCGTCATGGTGAGATGGCAAGGTAAGCAGTTAAATGCTGTCTCTTTTGAACATTTCTCATGTTGTTCAACCTTGACTTGTGTGACAATATCACAAGTCCTTTCATATATCTTGATCTGCTCAATCTAACTTAAAATAGCCGTTGCTATTGTTTACTGCAAGAATTTTCAGTGGTTGTCTGGGAAAGCATGTAAAAATGGGTGAATTACCTTCCATGCGTTCTTTATGCAGTTACGTAAACTTATCAGCAATGGCAAATATGTCTCATCTGTACCAAAGAGATGATCACGATACCACAGCAATGTTTTTCCACCCAAGATGAAAAGTGGTGCTGGTAGTCATGAGGCAAAGAGCCTGTGCTTAAAGAGTTTGACTGATATGGTAAAACAACAATTTCTAACTTTTTTTCCTGGTGCAACCTATTTGTTGTAATCCTAATTTTGACAAATGGGTCAATAAAACGGTGCTAACTTTTTGTTCTGCTTATTAATTTATGATAAGTTAATATGAGCTAATTTAGTAAAATAAAAAATGATAACAATAAAGAGGACCCTTGGAATATTAGATAATTTGACCATTTTATGGCAAGGCACGGCTTGTCGATGTTGTAAAATATCATGTGGTGCAACTCCCTGAAAAAAAGAATGATATTTATGAATAAATATTTCATGATATTTGTAAAATGAAAATAATAATAATAAATAAGAAAAAAATTAAATAATGTTTAAGATGTTCACTCATCTATTCAAAGTTAAAGGAAAATCACTTTTTTTATCTAATGATTACACCACAATATTTTTTTATACTGAAGATATTACAAAGATTTTTCCAACCACATGAAACCAATATTTTTCTTAAACGTAGACACATATATATATATATATATATATATATATATATATATATATATATAGATGTAATTTTCCTCATATGTTGTATGTGATATCTCAGATCTGGGGTGTGTTCACAGAGAATACAGTAACTATTTCTGTAGGTTGGATTCTAATCTTGATTGTGTGTAATAATATCAAACTCTTGGCAGGGTTGAAGTCGCTATGCCGGTGCGTCTCATTCTGTTTGTTTTGACGACAGGCAGTGTTGTAGAACTTACGTCTCGCCTGAAGACATGCAATCATTCTGAATCAAATGCAAAAAAGCATTGCCACAAAATATGATAATAATAAAAATATGAATTTGAGGCCTCCGGGTGTTTTTGACTGTGATCCTGTCCTGTGTTGTTTATTGAGTGAAGCGTCCGCAAAGCATCTGCTGTGACAGTCTGCTGAGCGTCTGGCACCCCTGGTGTCATGACAGATTTTGCCCCCTGTGACATTGTCCGTTTGTAACAACTTTACCTTTTTTATAGTGGAGAAGAGATGACTGACAAATTTTGAATGTGAGACCTGAGACGTTTTCTAGTTTTTCCACCTCTGAAACATTGTTTTTTGTTTTTTTTTTGTTCTTCTTTCTCTCTCCCTGCAACTTTAAAGGGTCCAGCGGAGTTCGAAAGATGACCATGACAGAGGTAAGACTGATCTCATGTTGGACTACCCAGTTTGTGTAATTCATAGAGCTTATTTCTTAATATTTAAGAATTCTATTTAAATTCTAAATGTGGTGAGTGACTGCAGTTTCCTTCATCATTTCGTCACTACATTTTTTTTTCCATTAAATCATGTTACTGTTCTTTTTAGATTTACTGGCATTAATCTATTTGTGTCAGAATGACCTAACTGGAAGGGAAGCACATATTCAAAATGCATACACAATCAGAGCAGAGATCCTAACTTACACCTGATAAGTCTTCCCACTGCATAGTGGGATAGGTAATCTTAATACGCTCCATCTGTGCTGAAATGCAGGATATAATTCATTTATTAATTGGCTAATAGTCAAACTTAAATTTGATATATTAAATGAAAACATTGAAATAATTAACATTCAATGTTTTTACATTATATTTAGTCATTTAGCAGACGCTTTTATCCAAAGAGGACAATAGAAGCTATCAAAACTAACAAAAGAGCAACAATGTAAGTGCAAATGACAAGTCTCGGTTAGACTTAGACGCAGTACACATAGCAAGGT